CAACTCATTTCTAGATAGAGACCTAAGGATTATAACAACTGGTTGAACGTACTTAGCCATAATCGAAAATTACGACTATTGTAGACGAACTCCCTATAGTACTTTGACCGTATATTATACGTGTGTTTAACGTCTGACTGAAGTATAGCCATCATTCCCTGCTAATAACAAAGCATCGTGATCGTCAGCTAAAAATAATGGCCATATCTATCTCTTCTAATACGTCGCAGGGGGAATCTTTCGTCAGAATTCACAAAAACAAAGCCTTGACTTTGGAAGTTATGAATGTGTATCTAACTACGTCTTCAGCTCAGTCACATAAGACCGCTTAACAGTAGGTACAGGCAAGTCAACAAGTAACACAATGTTTGGAGAAAATTAGTATCCTTTAGTTGTCAGTTTGTAGATATAATATAATTTCATATCATCGCAATACGCTGTATGCGCAACCAAGGCAAACGAACTAGATGCACAGTGTTCAGATACAACAGGTATTATCTCGTGGGATACTCTGCTCCTCAGGGAGCTTCAATTCCATATCGAAGTCCATTGCACTAAGGCACTAATTGCGTCCAAGTTCTCAGCGTGAGTCAAACTCGGCACAAGGTAGCAACTGTTCCGAAAAACTTTTAAAAAGTATCGTGTCTATTGGTGAATTCAGTTTGTTCCAATCTAGATATTTTATTATAGGTCCAGCGAGCCCGAGATAGATTATCTGTCTATTTACTTATTCATTCAAAGGGAAATTTGTTTGTTAAGTACAGAAATAGCTTCGATTGAGGCAAAGATAGTTCACGCGTAGGTCACCCGAAACCTGCCGGAACTGAAGTATAAAGACTCTGCATTTCGAAAATGTTCTAAACTGTAGGTTCTTTATTTCCAACTGAGTAAATTAATACACAAAGGGCGCGAATGGCCTTCCTGTTTCCTGCGCGGGATCGATTCGCTGATCTATTCGATAAATACAGCCTGCCTCTTAGAGTTTTCTTAGCACGTACCAAGGCACAGCTGCACTCTTATCACAATGAATATGCTTGCCGAGAAAGGCTGTCTATTGATGAATGCTAAAAAAGGAAATTTTTATAGTCCCTAGAAAAGGAAGATTGCGGTATTCATTTGAAAATATGGAAAAGTCTTCAGTGATGTTAATTCCTTAAAGTACGCCATGTGTGAGAATTTTACAAACAGGATGCGTCTTATAGTTCATTATATGTCGCATTTTGGCTCTCTGCCTTGGATAGTGAGATCTATTGGTTTTATGGGCTTCCCCTTAAATCAAATAACGTCTTGAGCAGACTGTCGCAAGTATATATCGTAGCCTTGTGTAACTTCTTTGTTACTTATCGCATGCGCTCAAAAGTTGAACGTAGTCTGTAGTTTGGGTCTTAAAATCCAACACCTACAACTGATGTTGGTGGCTGTAGTATTTAAGCAATATAAAGGTTAGTTTCTATATCACTGCACTGCCCGTAGATGTGAGCTAATCTAAAAAAGGGCCTGTGACCGCTGTACCTACGTAAGCTAGCTACTATCAAAGTTCTTCAAAATCCAGTTTTCCCCTGCCAACAACAGCAACAATAAACTTACCTATCGTGTTGACAAGAAAAGACTCAAGCAAATATTAGGCTATTGAAATTTATCTGTTTTTTCTGTTTTTGGTGTGATAAGTAATTTCGATTGCAAGTTAATGCAGTATAAACAAGAGTCACGACAGGAACCGTCCGTGGACGCAATAAATCGATACAATCCGGCTGATTTACAAGGACCTCTTTCCCTACACCATCCTTTACTGCCATCTGGCCACACCGACCAAGCCTATGTTGTTGGCTGCTGGCGATGCCTTGTAATGTGTACTTCTAAGAAAAAAAAACACGATGCCACACCTTGTTTAGAAATCTGCGACTGTGGAAAACTAAAAAAAATACACATATATCATTCCCGGCCACAACCAAATCGATGCTGAAGTTGAAGTCTCAATAAATAAAGTAAGAATCCCAGGCCTATGATCGACTTCACTAGGCAAAAATACCGCGAAGTATATCGAAATATGAGTACTATATAATATAATGGACATTTAGAAGTGATTCGATTTATATGTAAAGTAATATGGCTCCAGCGCATCCTTGATGAGCACGGGCGCAATTGCTGCGAACCGTTTACACAGTCCTTTTTCTACGACTACCGCTAGAATAGCTGCATAGTCCAAATGAAATAAAGCAAATCTGAAGCAACGGCACACACGGTCCAGAATTGGGACCTTTACGAAGGTGGCAGCCTGACTGGTCGTAATCGAATTGATCATTTTCATTCGCTTTGTTGTCATTGTAAATAGTCTCCTTTGGTATGGACGCTTCTCGACCCAGCTGGCCAGCCAGCACGGAACAGCGTTGGCATTCGGACCAATATGAGATTCTTTTACCCGGCTCTGTCATGCTCGTTTGTTCTCAACAATTTTCTCAAACAAAACAACAACGTTTTAATTATCAATAATAAGAACAATGTACCGTTTTCCACAAGTATCAGACTTAATGAGATTATCTTAGACGAAGTGTTGTCCGAACTTGTGAAAATGAGTATTATAGGTAACCAAGGCAAGAAAGATTTCATCTGACGATGTTGTGAATGGTTTTATTGTATGGAGTTATCGATCAAAGATGAAAGAACAACCCTTTCGAACAAAGCGGCGCCTAAGACCACAGAACAGTTTGGCCAAGTAATAGCACCATAGTGGATATCACTGAAGCAGAACGTGCAATGGTGTCAGCATAAAACAGAGCATAGACTCTGCGCGCCCTTCTAATAATAGTAATGACACGATGTAATGTTGCTATATACGTGCTTTTTTGATGTAATATACTGTTCTAGCATTCTATTAGATAAACATTTCCTTTCAGGTGTTACCTGGCGGAATTATGTTTTCATATTTTCGCTTGTCTTTTGTTGACTGGCATGATCGAGTACTTCGTACCTACTCATTCTACGTCTGTATAGTCCTAAACGAGCATCTATTCATATGTAAACTATAATATTTGACCTATTATAAGTCGGCGGTGCTAATCCGGCAGGGTGTCCTTATCCCACGGCCCTTATTGTTTTGCGTCCAAAGCGCTCAGTTTTATGTTGTGCTCTGTAGGCCCTTCCATAGTCTACAGGCACGTGCTAGGCAAAATTCCATTGCCCTTCAAGCCGATGTTAGTAGCGTAACTACCAGCTTTCGAAGTCGCTGGAGATGCCTCGCACGAGTCGTGGACCTATTGTCACGACTCCGCGGGTCTCCCACCGCCCTGAACATCGAATTACCGTGGTAATATTCAGCGATCGTGGCTCTTCGTCTCTCGCAAGTTGATACACACTGCAGCTGCCTACGTACGCGCGTGTTCTAACGGAAATCACTCCGTCCGACAAAAACCATACCATCAGGGACAGAATAGTTTTCCCTGCATTTGGATGACCCTAAGGACATTTAGAAGACACCAAAGCCTCGGGTGTTTCACGAACGGGTCGTAATCTTTCTGCGCCACAACGGTAGAGAACGCCTTGTCTACATAAGAAGCCACCCACTTTTAAACCTCCTTGTAAAATACATTGATCAATGGCGCCCACCCGTGGATTGCCAGTTAATGTGTCGCAAAGTCGAAATCGTTGTATAGGTTCATTGTGATCGAGTGATTCGAGCAGGCGCAGTTCCCTCGGGCCTGCAAGTGCCATTGTCTTCTGTTTGCATATAATCTTATGTCACCCGACGAACCCGCCATAGGAGATTACTTTCGTGACGGTAAGAAACTTAAAGAGGACTGTTGATCTTGCCATTCCTCGAATGCTGCTCGACAACCCACAAAGCTCTAACTTCGCAGAGAGGTCATCGAGCAAACATTCTGAAGGTCTTTTATGGCTTTTTGTAGGAACGAAAGAACTACTCCGATCGGCTAGCCTGCTTCGGCAGAAAGTGCTCGCACAGCTTTTCTTCAGAACTTTACTATTCATATGTTTAAACTAAAAAAAAATAATATATATATATATATATATATATAAGAATAATTCACCATATTTTATTGTACAGTGAATTAAATTCGCTATAATTGGCCTACCTATCGTGCCCTTATTCGATCCGCAAGGTCCGAAGTATCTCTAGCAGATATTCTAATCATCAGTGAATAAATAGGCTGTAAATCAAGCAGATAGAGAACTTTCACGTCTGCTGTTATAATAAAACGAAATGGAGTTTCACTTTAGAAGTAATACTTTCTCTATTGAGATCTTATGAAAAAGATGTTCAGTGCAACCGTTGACTTTGTTTACTAGTTGTCTGAACTGAGCAGAAGCAGATAAGCCACTTTAATATTAATACCTACGTTGTAGCATACGCGATCTGCATGAACTATACTCTTGTACATATCGCCGCATCTATCAGCCCGATAAGGATTTTTTCTTTATTTTTTCAACTCCATAGAGAGAACTATAATATACTGCTAAAAAATCCACTCAAACACAAATAACATTACACAGAAAAGGTAAAAGAGAACATTACTGTCATTCTCTTGATAGTAATAATATTGTGGTTCAGTCGACCACTAAGCCAACTCCAGTAGCAGATTTCCGATTTTGCGTCACAGCTATCCCCGCAGATATCAGTATGCATGGCTTCATACGCGTAGTTGCTCAGCACTGCAGTAGAGTTACCTATTTAAACCACCGGGACAACATACGGTGCCCCCTAACTGTACAACCCGGGCCAAAATTATCTTAGTAGGTCTTGCTCCGTTCTTTTACAGAAAAGTAGCAGTTCGATTGTTGTTATTTGTGCAGATTCCTATGCCATGTGCCGTCGTCGACGTCGGAGTTTTCGAATTTTTTCAGGCGAAGTTCTCCTCTCCTATGGTGAGGATCAGTGGCAAGGGTAGTTTGTTGGGCATATTGCGCGGATTGATGGGGATGTACCACCAGCGAACTAAGCATGCCAGATCTGAGTTCCGTGCGTGCTGGTACAGTTGTTGTCTGTCATATGTGTGAATTAATACGTGGATTATTATCATTTAGTGAGTGCCTATTGGATTAACACCGGTGTAATAACCCCGCGGGCTAAGCAGATCCGGCAGTGTATAGATTACAGGTGGCCCAATAATGTACCGCATTGGTGATTTGTTGGAGTACTAGGGTATGAGCCTGAAAAGCTCTCCGAAAGGATAATGTGTAGCAAGTATCTGTAGTGCTGATGAGTGCGCTGTAAGACGGACTTCAGTAAAGATGAGCTTTATGATAACGGCATGCGTGCCAGCAACTACTCCGCGGAATGCTCCGCGTTCACGAAAACCTCTCGTAGTTGATCCAGATGATGGGGTCTACGAAGAATGTGTACCAGGCTCGCAGCTTCAAAAGCAACCGCCTCCTTCAGAGCCTACCGATGTGAACGATTACGCTCAAACCGGATGCCACCTTGGATACATTTTCAAGAGGACACTGCAGTCATGTATTGGACCAGCATCCGAAAATGACAAAAAGCTGAGCGGTGCATATACAAGCTACGAACGTCCGGAAGAAACTGAATCTATGATTCTGGACAATGCGCTCTTCGAGCCAAAAAAAGGAGGATCCAATTCAATCGGGTCGAATTCAAACTCGTCCAAGACATCTGGTATGACGTCTTTATCAAGTGGACCTAGCTCCGGAGAATCAGCTACCACTGGGCCTATGGCGAAGTTTGCAAGAACATCAATGCAGAGGAACTCTCTTTCAAAAAAGAACTTGTCTTCGAGTCAGAATCAACTACCGCCCTCTGGTAACCCAACGCTTGGCAACTATGCCCTTAGACAATCTTCGAGCCCTGAACTGGACGCTATTGTTAATTTGATGAATTCTGCACCTAGCTCACCATCACATAACTATTTATCGATAAATTCGGATGACTATGAGACCTCTGCTCCTCCGCAGCTTAATTTAAAGCCAAGTTCTGCGGTTCAAAAACGTCAAATGATGCCCACTAAACCACCAGAAAGGAATATTTTGCTACCTCCAAGTGGCAAACTTTGGGGAAGGCCCATTACTATGGATTGGAAGTCGTCGCTGCGAGATCCGTTTCGCAATAAGAAGAAATTCGCAGGTCCTGCTCTGGAGAAGGTCTACGAGCTTCCAGAGAAAGAAGCTCTCTACGACATTTCGCAGGATCTCGTGCTCAGTGATTTGGCTAGGGCAGCAAGGGAGATTAGAGAAGTAAAAGAGTTGCGAAAAGACAATAAAATAATAAGCGCTGACGATACCTATCCATTATCTGCGAACAATCCTGTCGGTGTGAAAAAGACAATAAACCATTCAATGGATGTTATGAGAAGACTAAATAGTTTTTCGGTAACAGCGCGTGTTTCGCCAGATGCGCAAATCAAGTGCTCTTCTTTAAGTACCATGATCGATCAGAGCTATCTCGACAACGTAATGTCCAGCCTGACACTGTCAGATAGTTCTGGTTCGCAAAAGCCACTGCTTTCGCTTGGCTCGAACAATGAACCGCTATTGCATCAACCGCAACAGCGAGCAGGCGAAATCGACATCCGCGATGATGGAATCATATATTCGATCGAAAAGGTCCGCCAGAAGGGCAAGCGGCCGGTAGAGATGAACCCTGTACCGTTGTGCGTACCTGGAATGCAGGGCTTCGTACCCCCGTATTGCCGTGTTAGCGCTGTGCGTGCAAGACGCGCTCTGATTAAGCGACATGGCTCCAGGACGTCGCGTGGCTCGAAAACGTACTCCGATACCACCTGGGCAAGTTCCGAGGCCCGGAGAAAACGTCGACTCAAACCGGCCAGTTGTAAGGCTCAAGATCATTACTGCCGCGATATCAAAGTTACCCCGTGTGTGTCAACTCTACGAAAGAAAAAGTCTGACTTTGAAAAAGCGCGTAAACGCGCTAATGTCGGAGCTAACAAAGGTCAACGCAAAAAAGCCTACGTTTTCAACTGGCTGTTAGTAAACCAAGGCGTGGTCGGAAACGCCACTGAGAAAGAACGCGCCCGCCGACTGGTACGTTAAGTAGTTAATTTCTTCTGTAAAAAATTTCGGCTTCTGATTTTTTCAACGCTAAGATGTAGCCTCTATTCCGTTTGGATGTGACGAACCATTTCGGTTGCAGCTTGTGCCTGTCAATTTATTGTGTATCCTCTGCAACTAGAAAAAGATTTGATTGCGCAGAAAATTACTTCAAACAGCATTGTAGTAAGTTTGAGATGAGGAATAAAGACGGGGAGCGCCAACTAGTTAGTTAAGATCCCAATTAAAGTGATTATGGTATTACAGAGCTGCTCGGGTATGTCGGTACCCAGCCGCTATATAGAGATATACTGCAGATTGATATAGATTTGTCATTGAGGCAATGTCACTAAGTAGTTCAGGAGCCCTGTTACATACGAAGAGTTGAAGTAGTTCAAAATGTGTATACTTATTGTCCATCTGAACACTGGAGCTTTTAAATTCTATTGAGCCCATCTTTTTTGGGGAGCAGAATAGTTTCTATAACGGATTGTTCGAATCTCTGTATAGTAAATGACGGAACCTGTAAAAAGTCCTCTACAAGCAGCATAAATGTTGGCCTCCAACGCGATGCCAACAATCACTGTCGTTCAGAAAAATGCTTCCTTCGCAGCTAGAAATTACTTCAATAAGGTATTTATTCCTTTCGAACGGCTGTACTGGCGGGTTCGACAGTATCTTAAGTACGGACTTTCTGCAATGCAAATTATCTAAGCTTTTGACGAAATAATATTAGCGTACATATTATCAGTAATACATTCACAATTTGTCCTCGTTACATAGGAGATCCTCTATCTTGTTGCGGGGGGTGCCAGTCTTTGCGAAAAAGGCAGCCTTTTATTAAGGTTATTGAATTAAATAATCTAGGAATGTGTAGGGCGGCCGTTGAAAGGAATATTCGCTTCCACACATAGTGTGAGAACATAATGAGAGGGCGATGCAAAAAATTAATATACGACTACATCTATGATTTTTAATAAATGAGGCCTATAACTACCTAATTTCTCAGACACGGATAACGACGATTTCCCATTTTTATTTTTCTTCATTTAGCTAGAGCGGCCCACCTACCATCGAACGGTCGCTTGACACTTGCTAGAACCAGTGCAACGCATCTAAGCATCCATGGTTTTGTTAGCCACTATCCAGCGCGACCGTTTATGTCCTGATAGAGTAGGTAATTTGGATGTAACGTAACAGATTACTCGATATTTCCCTGCCGTTACAGTGCTGACTTCGGCGTTGTAGACATCGTCATCGTTTATCCGTCCGTTGTTTTGTTCGCCCAGGTAACGCTAGAACATAAACGCTATTGTTAAACGTCACTAATTGCACACAGATAGATCTAGAAATGATCCGAGGAAGAGGCGAACACGACATCCTCCATGTTTCCACTTGGCACTCGAGCGAGCCTCCATCAGTCGTTCTGCCGCGTATACTCCACAGTGTCGACCCCATACTATTTCCTTTCGCAGATAATCTGCATTGAGATTCACGCGACTACAACTTTCTTACAGCTGATACGCGGCCTAGTTCGAGCATACCATCTGAACCTGCACGTCAACGCACGACGGGCTGATAATATAGGCAATAAGCTATAACTACTACCACATGGTTATTCTGAACTATATGTACAACGATGTATGCATATATATATATATATATATATATATATGCTTGCCCAAAACAACGCCGCCTAAAGTAGTGAATGGAAATCGACGGCGTTCCATATGAGTCGATTCGTGTTCCCGTAGCCATAATCGATATAGGTATACACACATGCAGCTAGTCAAGTCTGTTTTATCGGACAAACTACATTCTTATACATATGCCATTGCGATATGCATATGAATTCAAAAGTACCAGAAATCCCTTATAGAGAAACCGGAAAACTGGCAAGTTGTCCCATTATACCCCAATTACCGTCTTGAAATTTCGCGGCATTCATATGCCAAATAAGTGGGTGATGACAACATCCATTATAGTATATATATCTCTGTATCTGTCAGCGAAAAGTTATTAGCAGCGAAAAATCCTCACAATTATTACTAGTAGGAACGCCGACATTCATCCTTAGTTAACTTTAGTGCTTGCACTGAGCGTCTTTGACCTGCCTATAGAAATGCATAGAAATGATTGGTCTACGTTAATAATTAACGTAAACGCTTTTGCTAAACCATAGACTTCCACTGATTCATATCCGTTTTGAAGATTTGTACGACTAGCCTGGTTTACGGGCTTCAAGGTCCGATTGGCAGCGAAATGACAGCGACGCGGAAGAGATAAGGTCGATTTAGAGCTGCGTCTGCCACTCTTCATGCAGCACTCGATACAAATACGGAGGGAGCTGAAGCGTGTCCCTTCTTCAGATTACATTAGAACTAGCTGAAGATAGTATACCTAATGATGTTAAACTCCCTGTCACAAGGTATCCGCTATTTCGGCTCAAACAAAATGAAAACAACTGAGAGGAAAGCAAGGCGACACTGAATAAAAAGAAGATTAGATCAATCGTAAATAAAATTAGATTGAGGTGTGCGTTTTTGGTAGACAATTTTTGATGGCTGTTTCAGTAGTGGTAACATTGTCAGTTCCGCCACTGACATGAAAGTACTCCGTTGATAAATACGACTCTGCCGAGTCGTCCACACAGACACACACGAACACTCATTCGCTCACATACAAAAAGCTAAACAAACACAGGCTAGCGCCGTTACATGCTGACTTCGTGGAGGCTTCATACTCGCCATATGGTGTGATGAGGATAAGTGCCAGTTCCCTGTGTACCTACTGTTTTTTTTAGACCCACAGACCAAGTTGGACATCACTGAGCTAACAAAAACAACTGATTACAACTGTAGTTGAAGTATTTTAATGTCCCAAGGGAGCTACAGCTAGGCTTCTGTAATAAACAGTGCTGGTTATCCATACGAGCCCTTTTGTCGTAACTGCCCATGTTATAATAGAGCATTATGCTGTTTCATCTCTCAGTTCGCCATCGCATTCGACTAGACATAGTGAAGCCACAGCAAACGGTTGAAAACCCATAATAAGAATGCGGCGTCATCGCTTCCGATGAACATCAAACAGTGAGGCAAGCAGCATTGTCGTTGCCTTTGCCAGCGTTCCCTTTCGTGCGAGTAAGGACGATGCTACATGTACTTCAACGAATAGAAACGATGGTCGTCTGGCTCTGGAAAATGGAGAGTAATTCTCGCAAAGTCATATCTTTGCCTCGAAGACTCAGTAAAAACCCTCAGATAGCGAAGAAGCACAGGCGGTAACGGGGGTTGCTTAAGCAAAGATGACTGAAGAAGACAAAGGCCATTCAGTAGCCATTTACTCACCGCAGTTTGGCTTTCGCGACTTCATCTGCTGTCGTAATAATAAATACAGTATAATCGCTCGCCTAATGCCCTATGCGAAAAGAGAGATTGTGCGAAGGTGGCCAGAGAGAGCAAGGGGCAAATGGAGAATTGGAGCAAAAGGAAATACCGAGTAAATGGTGAGGCATAGGAGCGCACTGGCGTTGCGGGGGTTACTTGAACGGCGAGTCTGCCAAAAGCAGCTGTTAAGAGGGGGAGTAGCCGGAATCGTACAACGTGCACTATTTTAGGATTTACCCCGTAGCGTAATTTTGCTATGCGATCCGTTGGGCTCGACTATCCACTTTATTCTGGTCTCTTGAACAGTATTGAGTACGCAATGGTAAATCACTTACGATGCGATCGTCACGATGTACGATTTTCAGCCCAGACGCCTTCTATTTGACGTACGGCGTCATACTGCGCCTATAGGTCGGTGCAATTCGATAACAGTGCTATTTGATTAGTAAGGTAACGAAGTGAGAATATAGCATTGAATGTATACCACCGTGTTCTTTATGGCAGCCGGATGTATTATGCAGAGAGGGATGAACGTTGCTTATGAACGTTGGCCTTTGTCCTATTGCTTCAATGGTATTTACGCAGAGAAGCCTGGATCTCGGAAGCTACGAATACAATTGGGTAGCATTGGACTGTGAAAGCGACTTATAAGTTAAGTGCGCCTGGCGATACGATGTGATACTCATATCAGCCAAGCGAATACGATCGCCGTCGAGTCAACAAGATAAGCTGAGGCCTCTTGTTTGAGAGTCTTTATTAGACATTTGCTTACGTAACAGTAGAGTAAAAGTAATACGAATAAAAATTAACTAAAAAAAAAGTAAAGTAAGAATTCCTAAACTATTAAGTAATTTCTATTTATTTACGTTACCCATTTGGTATCCGTAGATCGTCATTATATCAGCGTATACATAAACTTTTAGCTCGTCAAGGGAAGACAAACTGAAATATTTTTACATAAGAGATGCATGTGGGAAACGCTTAACTTATCAAACATGAGTTTGAGAGCGTTTCAAAGTATTCCCCAATTTGCCCCTGGCACCCCGATAGCTTTTCGATGGTTAAGGCGGAACGATGTAATTATTTCTCTCTTTTTTTCCATGATGAAGATATACTGAGGAAATGAGTAATTAGTGGAAACGTTAAAATCATCAAGGCTTATGTAAGAGATCATGGTATAATTCATTACCATCATTTTCAACTTTATTAAGTCGTTTAGATTTCACGAATAATCTAGCCCTTTACTGCCCCAGTACAGCTGTTGTTTACTAATTAAGAGCACTAAATTTAATGTAAAACGTGCAATACATACTGCTATTCAATGTAGCACCAACTACAGTAGTACTATCATTATTATTGTTGTTGCTATTACTTTAATATTCAATGCGTATGTATTAGCATATATAAAAGTTCAATCATACTGCACGGAACTTCAGCACTCAACGCTCTCAAGAGGTCATCTCAAGAGGTCTCAAGAGAACATCTCTCACCACTTCATTTTTTAAATGATCCAAAAAAATTCTTAGATGTTTTTTTTACAGATACGACTATTACTAAATATATTCGCGTAATTCAATTGACGCTTGAGCGAACTGCCGAGCAGCTAAA